TGCACCTTTCAAAGTCCGTCGTGTCTCACAGAGTCAGAAGCTTCTGTTAGGTCCACAAGGACAGAGCAGGGACTGGTGTCCGTTAACCGGCATCTTTTCTTGCGGTTGTCGGGCAGGAAGGTTATGTCGGAGGTGCGCCCGTTACATTAAAGTCCGCAGTGGTTTTCCGAAAGAAATCCTCCTATCAGATGACCGTTGAGTGGATGGCGAAATATGCGGACGAAGATCTTGGAGGAAATGTGAAGCTGCAAGGTTCCTCTGTGGTTGTCACGGATCTGCCGGTTTCATTTGCGCTTAAATGTTTATGTACGTATTTGAAGAGTTAGAGGCAAAGTTCTTGATGGCTCTTTATATACAATGATTTCGCACATTCGCACTCAAAATAAAGTTGCAAGCATTTGGAATGTGTTCGTACCACAAAAGAACCGTCATAATAGGGGAGCGCATCTGTTCACTGTGAGTCAGTACGGGAAGATTGTGTATGGCAAGGTGTTTTACAAAACTGGCCTTGAGATGCCATGTTGTAAAAGTCGGTCTTTGTTGCGAATTACGCGAGCAAATTTTCTTTTAAGAACGGGAATTGTGTCGGCCGCCACCATCTCACTTGGCAGCGTGTTCCATGGTCGGACAACCCGTAGGCAGAAAGAGAACTTCCTCCGATCAAGCCGCGTGCGTTCACTCTTGACTCCTTAAGGGTGACCGCGTATTCGATTGGTGCTGGAAAACTTGGGGGAGTCCCACAGCCCCAGGGAGCAACCTTGGCCGCTGATAATCTGGAGTGTTCAGAGTAGACTGCAGTTTAGCTGCCTATAAGATTGGGGGAATAAACCTAGCACATTCAGCCTCTCCTGGTACGACAAATGCTTTAGACCGTCGACCATCTTCGTTCTTCTTCATGGCACTTGTTCGAGTAGGTCAATATCCTTTATCATCCACGGCGAAGCCGCTGACATTGCGCACTCTAGATGAAGTCTTCCAAAGACGCCGAAAATTCTTTCCGAAGAGTTCTGGAGGAAATATTTTAAAAGCCCATCTTATCCAATATAAAGTACTAGTCGCCTTCTGGACTATCTTCCTGCAGTTTTTTGGTGACATTAGATTTGTGATCGTCCATGCACCCATATCCCTGTGCCTTCCTAAAATTTCTAATGTCGTTCCGTGAATATAGCACTACTGTTTGGGTAAGGCGCATAATGGCGGCGTCCTTGAAGTCCTGAGAATTTCTCTTTGACATCACTTGTCGAGGAAGAGCGTTGTTAATATGTCCATAGACGGGGTGTGTGACATAAGTCAGTTTATTAAGGGAATGAGGCTTTCGCCCTTGCGCTCCCTATTCATATCGATAAACAGAAATAAAGTCATCAATTACATCAGCTAATGCGAAAAGTTAAAAAATTAGCGGTAAGTGTGAGCCAGGCGCAAACTGCCGCCACTAAAACAATCATTATTATATGTACAGTAGGTTATCAACAAATGAGCGTCTAGTCTGCACTTAAAGGATTTGACACTTTCGGAAAGAACGACGGCATCAGGGAGTCCGTTCCATGCCCCAATGACCCTGTGAGAGAAGGCGTTCCGTCGGACGTCCGAATGAGCCCGCTTCCTCTGAAGTTTGAGGGGATGACCAAGCAGATGGTCAGTCCCGGCCAATTCGAAGAATTCATCAAAGTCTAGGGCACACTCACGGCTTCTGACAATCCTTTAGGTTTGAATGAGATCGCCGCGCAATTGCCTGTAATTTAGAAGAAACAGATTTAGTTCGGTCAGCCTGGTTTCGTAAGGCAAATGATGAAGATTATTGACCATCTTCGTAGTCATCGCCTGCACTCTTTCCAGTCGTTCATAATCTTTCTTCAACCACGGTCGCCAGGCCTGGACTGCATCTTCTAAGTGAGACCGGACGAATGCCCCATAGGTTTTTACGAACAGCCGTTTATCGATCTGCACAAATCCCAGCCTTAGCGCAAACAACACCCTTATCGCACTTTTGGCTGCCCTTTGACACTGTGATGATGGTTTCAGCGAGGAAGTCATTAGGACGCCTTGGCCTTTCTGTTCCACAACATTTGAAAGGGGCTGACCACCAAGGATGTGTTGAAAGGAATCGTGCTCCTTACTGGTCTTTTTGGTGCGGAGTCTCAGGACCACACATTTGTCCACATTAAAATTAAGGAGCCAACGAGCTGACCACCTGTTCAGGCGGTTGAGACTGTCTTGAAGCGTGTACCCGTCTGCGTCAGATCTGATGAGTCTCCACAGCTTAACATTGTCAGCAAACATGATAGCGCCGCATCCCAGGTCGTCGACGCAGTCGTTAATGTAAACCAGGAATAGCAACGGCCCTAAGACGGGGCCCAGGGGTACACCACTTAGAACGGGGATAGGAGTTGACCTTGAGGCCTCAATGCACACGGTTTGCGATCTCCCCGTAAGAAAATCTGTTATCCATGTCAGCAGCCTTTTTCTTATCCCAATTTCAGAAAGTTTGTAGATTAGGCGTTTGTGTGGGACGCTGTCGAACGCTTTCTTAAAGTCTGTGTAGATGACATCGACCCTACCATCCTCGTCCAGTGCGCGAGTCCATTGCTCCGTCGAGAGCAATAAACTGTAAAGGCACGAGCGGTTCTGTCTGAAGCCGTGCTGCAGGTCTGAGAGTAAATGGTCCTGCTCCAGGAACTTCATTGTTGCTTTCTTAACCTGTTCTTAGAGTTCGGCCGGAATTGCGTCGAATCCCTGTTCTTCTCTGCAGGACTGTTAATGAGTTTTTCTGTTTATTTATGGGAGCAAAGGCAGGAGGTCTCGGTAATTTTTCGTCTCAAGCGGGGAAGTCCGGTAATGACGCCTTTTGAGATTGTGCAGGGGCAGTTTAGTGCGCTTTTAAAGTTCGCAGCCCACAGGAATCGCCTATCGGTAGGAGCTGGGCAGCGGTGCAGTTTCTTTGGTGCATAACACGTATATCATCTTGAGGAGAGCGAACAAATTTGATTATCTTGTCGTTCCGTGAAATCTTGTTTTTCTCTAGCCTTCCGATCCACCCTAGCGTTGCATAGTTCTCGCAGTCTTCATCGTAACTAAGGTCCATAACGAAAAATCTCCAAGTTAAGTTAATTTTATATGTGGAAAACAGATTTGAACGCATTACGCACCCTATTTGCGATGTTTAGTTGGGTACAGTGTGCAAGACAACGGCGTGGACCATAAAAAAGTCAGACATAACCCTCAAGGGATGAAAAAAATATTCCATCGTTTTGGCCCATTTTGGAACATAAATTTGTCCGAGTTCCTTTTAATACTGTTTGTGGCACAACAATATCTGCAGGGAGGTGGATCCATGGCTTGACCACCTTGACAGAGAAGATTAGCATCCGCATATGTAGTCTAGCCTGCTGAAAGCACAGTTTCAAAGAATGGACTCTGGGGATGGTTGTCGTAGCAGACAAAAAATCCTTACCTGCTTACGGTATTGTATAAGGGACTTGATATGGACATCGTCAGGTCAGAATTGATACGCCGGATGAGATTATTCGCGTCAAAGTGGCGAGACGAGAGGAATCCCGACGCAGTCGCTTTGAGCCGAAACGAAGAGAGGGGAAGGGGGGTATGACCAAACTACTAATAGATGTCCAATAGGGAGGGTTTCGCCGTGAGCGTCGACAGACCGCTTGAGGTCGAAATGAGGACATGACCGCGAAAATCGTCTCCATGGGGGAGAATTTAATGAAATGGACTTAGTAACCAATTAAAAACAGGGGTTGTACAGATACAAGTGAGGGTTTCCACATGATCTAGCATTAAATCCCAAGGGAACCCTTATCAACTTCAAGAATTGTAGTGTTCGGGAATGAAACGGCCAAAAGTGATTTCATATTTCCCGGTGTATGGCGCTTACACAATTTGGATTTGAATGTCGATGACTTATGCGATGACCTAAGTTCTGGCGGAGGAATATCCCAAAGGAAGGCAAATTTGGACGCAATAAAGAGAGAGCGTTTAGGTGTAATGCAAAGATGATACAGAATCACCATGGAGGTATTGCGCGTAGCATAAGACCGAACTCTCAGAGGGATAGTGTCAATGCGCCGAAGACTGGGTTTAGAGCTAATGCAAACAAGGACGTAAAGAACAGCTTCGAGTCCTCTAACCCCCAAAAAAAACGTAATGTTCGCCAGCTGACATCTTCGAGTATAAAAAATACCAGGTGCAGCTTGAAAGAAGAGGTTTCAGATGAAAATCTTCTACACATTTTCCATCTAATTACGGTCACAGGCGTTCAGTAAATCAAGGAGAGGGCAGCAGTAATCGAGGACAGGAAGAACAAACGTTTGATTAATTTTTTTCTCCATTTCCGGAGGGGACAAATGCATGATATGAACTCGCATATCTGAGCAGCTTTGGTAGAGATTATATTTGCATGAGGTGATAAAGCAAGCTCATTTGTATAACCTAAACCTAAATCCTTTATGGTGAAGCATACTGAGAGTGGGCTATTCTGAAAAATTATTGATTGAGAGATTGGCAGGACCAAAAGTCATGAAACTGATGATAGAAGCGAACAGAAGCGAAACTACACTTCGATGATGAAAACTCTATCTGCCATGTCCAACTCCATCTGAATAAGCGTTCAGTTCAGTTCAGTTTATTTGAGGGAAATATAGGTGTTGAACCTTTGAACTCCCTATTTGTTACAAGGAAGCGAACTATATCAAAAAGTTGAAATGGAAACATCAAACAGCTACAGAGTCTCTTCAGATTGGCAAAGTTTTCGAGCCAGACAGATAAAAGAATTGTTCCAAGAGTTAAAAACATTAACGTTACTAAGTGTGCTGTACAGTAGTCTGTCTATGGATAGTTGGTGCTATCTCAGTTTCGGAGGGAGACGAATTAGCTGCCAACACACATTCAACAGACATTGGACAATAATAAAAAAACAAACGTTACTGAAATACAGGCAGTGATATAACAACATTAACAAACTGTTCGAACGAAGTGCTAGACGTCGGTCAGGTGGCATTATGACGTTTGGTGGTACACTGGTCCAACTTACGCTTAAAAGCCTCAACGGAGGTGGACATGACGACATCTGTAGGCAGAGCATTCCAGGCCTCGATCACTCTGTTTGAAAAGAAGAAATTCTGAATGTCCAGCTTGACGCCAGTTACGCGTAGCCTAAGTGGATGACCTCGGAGGTTCGTTGTGGTCGCTAACTCAAAGAAATCAGCAGGTACGAGACAGCAGTCGTGGCCGCGCAGTATACGGAATGTTTGTATAAGGTCGCCTCTTAGCTGTCTGTAACTCAGTGGAAAAAGTCCGAGATTGGACAAACGTGTTTCATAGGGTAGTGAACCCTGTGCAGTTACGAGTTTGGTCGCCCGCCTTTGGACTTTCTCGAGGATGCTGAGATCTTTAGAGGTCCAGGGTTTCCACGCCTGAATAGCGAACTCTAGCTGTGGCCGTACGAAAGTCCGAAAGACTTTAACGAGGCAGTCCTCATCGAAGGTTGAGAAAGCTCTCTTGACAAGATAAAGGACTGACATCGCAGACTTGGCTACCTTGGAGCAGTGGAGCGACGGTTTTAGAGAAGCCGTTACCCACACTCCCAAGCCCTTCTGGGCGTCTTCCTCCTGCAGTGGTACGCCATTTAGGTAATAAACCCTCCGGCTTTGAGATCGGGTCCTGCCGACTCGCAAAACATTGCACTTAGTCACATTAAACGGCAGAAGCCAGTCCTGTGACCATTTCTCGAGTCGGGTCAGGTCTGCCTGCAAGCGCTCTTTGTCCAAGTCAGTTCGGATGACGCTCCAAAGTTTAACATCATCAGCGAACATGGCGACATCACAATTCAGTTCACTGACGCAGTCGTTGACGTACATGATGAATACGGTAGGGCCAAGAACGGAGCCTTGCGGAACACCGCTTTCAACCGCTACCTCCGCCGACTGCCTGTCACCGACGTGGACGATTTGAGAGCGACCGATCAAGAAACTTTGTATCCACCTCAGGAGATTACCCCTCAGGCCTGTTCGGTTTAATTTGTACAGGAGACGCTGATGTGGTACGCTGTCGAATGCCTTCTTCAAGTCGACGTAGACTGCGTGCACTGCATTGCCGCCATCGACTGCCCGGGTCCAGCGATCTAAACAATAAAGTAGATTTGTCACTCATGATCTGCCTCCACGAAATCCGTGTTCGGCATCGCATAACAGATTATGCTCTTCTAGGAAGTGCATTATTTCTCGTTTAATTAATTTTCCATAATTTTGCAGCAAATTGAAGTAAGGCTGATTGGTCTGTAGTTGTTTGCTAAGACCTTGCTGCCGCCTTTATAAACTTGCGTGATCCGCGCGGATTTCCAATCGGCGGGCAAGTAGCCGGCTTCGAATGAAGCTTGGACGAGCATGGACAGCGGTTTAGATACTTCTCCAGCAAACTCCTTCAACAATTTCGGCGGTATTTCATCCGGCCCAGGTGATTTTGACTCATTCAGCGTCAACAGTCCTTTGCGAACAATAGCTTCGGCGAAAGAGACGTGTTCGATTGTTGGTCCGTCCACTATGTTGCAGTCGGGAGGGAGAAATGTGCTCTCCTTCGTAAAGATGGACATAAAAAATTGTGAAAGGTGCTCTGCCTTTTCTCCGTCTTCACTGAGTTCTAGGTCGTCACTAGTTTTCAGTAACGGGCTTGGATCTCTGTTTCGTGTGCTTCTTCTTATGAAACCATAGAATAACTTCGGATTTTCTGCGACTCGATTCAGTAGGGCTTTCTCGAAAGTACGCCGCGTCCCGAGGAGTAACCTAACTAGGTTCCTCTGTGCTTTGTACGCATTTATCGACACAGAGCTCCTATCCGAGAGGGATTTTCTCCATAACCTCCGCTTTTTATTCACTTCTTTTTTTAATGCTTGTGTTAGCCACGGGGGTCTGCTGTCCAGTTTCTTCCGTGTAATAGGACAGTGGTCTCTGAGAAGAACGCGCAGTAACCCAATAAACCAGTCCCAATCCTTGATTATATCACCGGAAAAAACTGATTCCCAGTTTATGGTATTTAGTTCAGCTTTCATTTGGGCAAAGTCACCGCGCCAAATGTTCCTTCTAACCCTGGTGGCCTGTTCGGGCAGAGAAAAAATGGAGTACTCCCACAACAGTACGACGTTGTCGCTTCGACCTAGGGGGGTATACATTGCACCTCATCAATGCTGTCCAGTGACTTCGTAAGGAGCAGATCCAGACACTTTGACTGTTGCCCTTTGCGCACTCTCGTCGGAAAAGAGACGTGCTGAGTGAGAAATAACTTGAGGGTCATGTCCGGAAAACGTCGGTCGAAAGCATGGTTTGGACCAAATGCATAAGCTGAACTCCAGACGATAAGAGGTGCGTTGAAGTCCCCCTTAATTAAGACGTCAGACAGGATAGAGAATCTTTCCAGGTCCTCAATCAGACGGGCGTCCGCCGTGGGATCATTTCTCGGCGGTTGGTAGACCGTCAGGACGTCAAGGCTCGGTGAACACGGTGCTTTTATAGTTAGCCAAATTGCCTCAGAAGTACACGAAAGTTTATCTGTTTTGTCTGAGACTATAAGCGCGTGTTTTACATACTTGAGTTCACCTCCGCCCTGACGTCCTGACCTGTCTCTTCTAAACAACTTGTATCCTAGTATAGTTAACTCACGGTTGTCCACCTGCTGGTTCAGCCAAGTTTCTGTAAGTGAGATTTTATCCGGGGATAGATCAGATAGATGGATCTTTAGCTCGTCAACTTTCGATAACATGCTCTGCACATTTGTATATAGAAATTTCAGTTTACGATTTATGGCTGGCAGAGAAGTAATTTTGATGCGTCTAGGACTTTCGCCTACCATTTCAGTTGCGCGGTCATCCGGATCGGGCCCGTCCAAAGAAAGGATGATGGGCGCCGCCTGATTTGGTTGTTGCAGATAACCAAATTCCGTTCTCCTTCGCTGAGTCTCTTCCTCAGCTCTAGAACTAGAAGACGACGTTTTAGCCTCTCTGCTGGTGAGTAATCCGGTTGAAAAAACGCCGGGGTTGGTATCTTTTATTCTAAAGCGCCGAGGTAGAATCAACCCAGCTTGCTCCTTACAAGCCAGGACAACTTTGAGAGGTCGGGCCGTGTTGGTGTTGGCAGAATTTTTGTCCGTTTTCCGAGACGAAAGGCTTTGAGTACTTCAATTGCCTCAGTGGGTTCCAGGATATTGTTGAGCAAGCCCTGGAAATGCCTTAGATCTTCCGAAACCTCTTGAACCGATGCACTGCCAAGAGGCCTCGAAAACTGTATGAGAGACGGGGCGGATTCTGCGCTTGT